CTAAGATAATGAACATTTTCAAAAATGTTAGTGGCTTAAAAATTGCAACTAAAAATGTGAAAACGGTATCGAAGTTGTACACAAAGACAAAGGATCCTTTCACAATACAGGAATCATCGAATGTTGTTCATTCTATACCGTGTGCTAATTGCAAAAACGTGTACATTGGTGAAACATCTCGTAATTTTCACAGTAGGGTGATCTCACATCGCAGCGACATAAAAACCAAAAAAATTAACGCATGCGCGTTGACAGAACATGCATTAAGTTTAAAACATGAATTTAATTTCGAGGATTCCTGTATTCTGGCAAGGGAAAATAACCATTCTAAACGTGTTTTCCTGGAAATGTGTTTAATAAAGTCCAGTGCGTCTTGTATAAATAAGAAGTCCGATATAGACAAATTGAGTAACATTTATTGTTATTTACTGACTAAACATCAAAAATGACACAAAGACTTACTGGTACATATACACACCATAATACACCTGCATGCTAAACAGGTTGCATACCATCAACACAGGTTTAATACATTACCTTCTATTAACAACATATGAAGAACTCCTAATGAATTTTTAATCATACTATTTTTATTTTTGTTTTTTTTTTTATTCTCTATGGGTAAGTTAAAACACACCAAGAAGATGTAGAAAACAAACTTTTTAGAACTTTTATTATTTTTAACTAAATTTTAAAATGTATCGTATTAATTATTGTATAAGTTTTAGTGTATATGTTTGTTATTAATGTTGAGTGTCATAGCTTCATACAAATAATCTCAACGACTAGTAAGTACACTGATATTTTGTGATATATTGTAAATATTTACACATTTTTCTAATTACAGTGTCTTGATAAAGGAATTAAACAATTCCGAAAGCTAGACCAAAAGTCAAAAGAGTGTTTCTGTAACATCCCGGCCAAACTTCTGACTGCAGCCCCAATAAACTTTGTTGTTGGTTTAAATTGACAGTCACGAATATCCAGTATTCATTATATATATATATATATATATATATATATATATATATATATATATATATATTTATATATATATATATATATATATATATATATATATATATATATATATATATATTATATAATATATATATATATATATATATATATATATATATATATATATATATATTATATATTAGTAAGCTTGGTAGTAGTTTTAATAGTTCTAAAGATAGAATGAATGACACTAAATATTAATGTCCAATTTACATAGTCATTCAATTGCTTCTGGGGAACATTCCGCAAAGTCCTGGAGGTTTCCACGGTAGGCACGATTCAAACATTGTGTCTGAAACACAATGGCTTATGGTCTGTCTAGATTGTCTGCAATCGCACTGTGGACTTTCTGCACGACCCCACCTGAGCAGAAAATCAGCACATTTACCATGTCCGGTATGTATAGGATTAAGCCTTACCCAAGTGGACCGGGGCAGATTTGATCCGATGAAACCCTGAGTTGGGGTGGATATCTTAATATAGTCCGATATGTATATCATAGGAGTTACCAATTTTTCGGGCAGATCGTATTGGAGGATTTCTAGATCTCAGTAGCTGGTGCTCTTTTGAGATGTCTGGGATATCTTGATGTATTGGTAATTGTACGTTGGCTACAATTTTCTGGTACTCTCTCACTAATGCTGCTATACGGCGTAGATCTGGTGGAGTAATATTGCTCAGAGTAGGCAGCCATCTCACTGGCGTTGGTTTTATTGTTCCAGTGATTATTCTCATGGTTTGGTTAAGTTGGACATCGATTTTGCTTGTATGTGCACTATTTAGCCATACTGGTGCACAATATTCTGCCACTGAAAAAAACAAAGCTAGAGCAGAGGTCCGAAGAGTATCTGCACAAGCACCCCAAGTTGTTCCAGCAAGTTTTGATATTAAGTTATTTCTTGTTCTTAGTTTACCGGATGCGTTTGTAAGTTTCGAAAGGTTTAACAATTGTCCAAGACAGGTGGACGCGCTGGCGTGTCTCCTCTTTAATATTGCCTTGGAAAAGGCAATCAGACAATTAAATATTAGAATAAATGGAACTATTTTAAATAGATCGATGCAAATTCTAGCATTCGCTGACGATATAGTTATAGTGTGCAGAAGTATGAGCAGTACGAGATATGCAGCATACTTTTGAGCAAGTCAAAGAATTCACATATCTTGGATTGATACTAAACGCAATAAACACAACAAGCGACGAAATAAAAAGACGCATAGCAATAGCAAACAGAACTGCTCAAGGTCTCCAGAAACATTTAAAAAATAAAAATATAAAATGTGCAGTAAAGCTTAATATATACAAGACCTTAATAAGACCGGTTTTGATATATGGGGCTGAAACGTGGACCTTATCTCAAAATGATGAAAGACTTCTGGGGTCGAAAATAAAAACATCACGAAAACACGAAGAGATTAACATTTTCAAAACCAGAGGCACAAGAAAAAGAGGATGTGCACGAAGGAGATGGATTGATCATGTGAAAAAAGACCTACAGATTCTAAGGGTCAGAAGATGCAGGGAAGTTGCCAGGAATCGACAGGAGTGGCGATTTCTGTGTGAGCAGGTGAATATCCACAACGGATTGTCGAGCCACTTATGATGATGATGATATGTACATTAGCATTTTCTTTTTCGCTCTTTTACCTTATTTAAACTGAGGTGAGTGGTTCACACTTCAGATGCAATTAAACTCAGTTTTCAAGGGAATCGCAGCTTACTTGTTCAACACTGTCAAATGTCCAATTTTAAATCAATTGACTGACACACAAACTGCGAAAAAAGCGTAAGGTAAAGTGCCCAAAATCCGTCCCCTGTCCTAATTTCGTTCCCCACTGTAACTTCTACGGACAGTACTGCAACCTTGCGAGAGGGCAAGGCAACTCTTCAAAACGATCCAGTGTACAAGTGGCAGTGATTCTTTGTTCTGTTCACTTAACCTTAAATTTTTCATAAATAGTTTATGGGATAGCTTGCTACAGTTTGTAATTCACTTTAAATACTTATTATGACGCCTAAAGGTAAGTTTAAACTGATTTATCGATTGATAATAATAGAATGCTTTTTGAGTATTATATTTCATTTGTCACAGCCGTGTAGTTGTAGTTGTTTTGTCACGAACAGCGGCCATGATTTATATAACGGAATTCCTAAATCCGTCCCCTTTGAGGTTCTCAAATCCGTCCCGGGATGGATTTAGGAATCTTTTCATATATTCTTCTTTCAATAAATTTTAATTTTCCCTGAAAATTTTGACAAGTATTTCTCTATCCTATAGCACGAACTCGAGAAAATAAACTTTGACCCCTCAAAAATATTTAATGTAGACGAAAGAGGGATATTTGTAGTCCAGCACAAAGCTACTAGAGTAGTAACCTGTAAGGGAAAAAATCAAGTCCATAAACTTTCTCCTGCTGAACTTGGATCCACAACCTTAGTCATAACCTGTATGTCAGCAGCAGGCCAGTATATTCCAGTTAATATTTCCAATTAAAATGTGACAGGAAGAATTGCTCGGCGGAGCACCTTCGGAGTCGATAGGCGCCACATCTTCTAGAGCCGGTACTTTATTCTTGGTAACTGGATCTCCTCACAAAACTTCTCTCAAAATCTCTTTACAAAAGAAACAAATGGCAGAAGAGAAGAGGCAGTCAAAGGCTAAGAAACGTCTCATCATGGAAGATAAAGAAAATCCTGGCACAACATTGAACAAACGTCCCAAGAGGAAAACAACGAAGTGGGATTTAAATTCAAGTGACTCTGAGGACGAAACAGAAGTTCCACTGGTATCAATAGATGATGAGGATAGTTCTGGTGATGAAGATGCACCATGTGCCATTTATGGAAAACGTTTTTCACAAGACAAGCGAGTAGAAAAATGGATAAGGTGTTTGGAATGCTTCAAGTGGTGCCATGAGATGTGATCAACTTCAACCAAGGTCAAAAATTTTGTTTGTGATTTGTGTCTGGAGGTGTAAATAGATAGAACTTATGTATCAAAATGTATAAATATGTTCCTATCTCAATAAATGTATTATAACAGATATTAGTACTATTTAAATATTGTTTTACAAAAAAAATCATACATTTTAACTAGGAATGGGTGGCGGACGGAATTGGGATATTGTGACCATTTTTTAAAGAACCGAAATTTGCTTTATTTTGTTATTTATTTATTTTTACTTCAGGAAATTTTATTTAGTAGAATCGTAGTAGCAGAACTCTTAGACATAGAGTTAAGTTACTTAAATAAATTTTTTCCATTATTTTAACTCTAAATCAAATTTCAGAATTTAAGATTTTGCTTAGGGAAACGGTATTTGGACACTTTACCTTATTTGTTTTATTTGCGACATGCATTTATATAATTAACGGTGAAATAAACGAAAAAATCTGTGTAATTATTTAATAGAAAGTTTGAACATTGGCATTAGTTGGGTATTCGGTTTTATCTGCCTTGGAATACTTTATCGATACGATTTATCGTGGATCTAACTACTTTGATAAATTCTATTGTTGGCAAAAGCACAGTAGTTCCCCTTTATTACAGACTTAATAATTATTAATGGTTTTATTGCAGATTCAGTATTTAGTCCATCGGCATTCTTTATAATGAACTCTTTATGAAGGTTTTTTTCTATGATTTAAATTTGGAAACTGATTCATGGGAGGACATGGAAATGTTTTTTTCTACTAATGATTCGGAATCAACAAGAAAGAATTTGCACAAAATCAAATTAGTAAGAAATGATTGAGGAATGTGGTGATGTTGATACCAATTTCTTTTATTAAACTTTCAACACTTAGTTTATACCATAGTTTATTTTGAATAATGCTAAATGATACATTTCATTTGTTATTAACAAAAAAATTTAATTGTTATAACCACTTTACCCTTACCATAACTAAAGTCATATGTCAAAATTGACTCCGTTTAACTGAGATTTCGTTAAAACTGAAAATAATGTTTTTGTTTACTCACCGCAGAAGGATTGGCGTTAGCCATGATGAGAAATACTCCAGCTAGGTCTGAATTCGAGATCCACATTTTGGAACCGTTTAAAATATAATCAGATCCGTCTTTTTTGGCTGTTGTTTTTAGGGCGAAGGCGTCCGATCCTGAGGATGGTTCTGAGAGGGCAAAACTTGCTACCTGCAAATAAAAAAAGTATTGTAACAAACTTTACCATCTATAATTGAATATCGCTAAACTTTAATCTAGAATCAAAATTGTAGGCAGTAAATAGCGCTAAAATGTCAGTATTTCGTCCAATGACTTGTTCTATACGGTCTTCTTGATGTTTTTTAATGTCCTTTGTTATTTGTTTTCATATTACTCGATTAAGTTTCTTAAATTCTACAGTGTCTCGATTGGAGGGAAGTACTGATGAACAAGCCGAGAACTCCGATGTTAATGGAGATTCCGATGCTGATGATGATTTACAACTAATAATAGATCATTATTATTTACACCTACATCCTCAGGTACTCCTACACCACAGCTACCTCGAAAACGAAAGATTAACGTGAATTCCGATGATTCAGTGGACGATCCTAATTCCATGCCTTCGTCGCAGCTTCCACTGGTTTCCCATGAAAGTGAAGAAGAGGATGAAAAGGTAGAAAATACTACTAAACCATTTTCTTCTTGGACTAAGACTGTCCTACGTAATCCTAATTTTCACAATAACAGAATAGCAGAAATATTTCCTCTCAAAATATTTTTTAAAATACTCAGGCTTTTGCACCTAAATGACAATCACAACATGCCGCCTCGTGGATCCACAGCTTATGATAAACTGTACAAAAAGCGTCCACTCATTGAACACTGCTCTAGTACATTTTGCCGATCGTTTAAACCAAGCCGAAATGTTGCAGTAGACGAAAGCATGGTTGCTTTTAAAGAGCGGACCCAGTCTAAAACAATATTATGCCCATGAAGCAGATAAAGAGAGAAATAAAAATTTGGGCTTTGGCTTGTTTAGAAACTGGCTATTTATTTGCATTTATAATATACCAAGGTAAAGAAGAAACGACGACAAATGATACTTTAGGAGAAGGTGTTGTTTTAAATTTAGTTAAAAATTTCTTTGGTCAGGGATATTGTATTTATTTCGACAATTTCTATACCACTATACCACTTCTGGAACAATTAAAAGAGAGATCTCTTTTTGGTTGTGGAACAATCAGAGAATCTAGAAAATATGTATCAAAAGAGAAATTGAAAGAAGACAAAAAGCTGGCGATGCGCGATGGGGCAAATAGACTTGTCTAATAAAATAGGCAGTGTCTGATGGGATATCTATCACCAAATGGAAAGATAGAGGGGTAAAAGCAGTTACTATGTGTAGTAATATGCACAATGCTGCTGAAATTGGCCACGTTCTTCGCACGAATAAAAAAGGAGAGAGAGAAGTTGTTGAGTGTCCATCTTCTATAGTTGATTACATGAATACAGGGGCGCTGTTGACCGCTTTGATCAAAGAATGGCAGCATATTCCATTTGTTGGAAAAGTAGAAGATGGTGGGTGAAGCTTCTATGTTACTTTATAGATGCATGTATTGTGAATGCCTATATACTTTATAGAGAGGAACTAAAAAAAAACGAATCCACGAAAAAAGCCTTGTAGCCACCTGGATATGTTCAAAAATAATGATTTGGATATTATTAGTCAAATTGAAAACGATATACATGCGAAAAAATCGTTTGATGACAAATAAAAAATAAATGAATAAAATAAAAAAAATATTTTTTTTTCAAGTTTTGAAGTAGATTATCTCAATTTTAGTTTCCCACGCCTATGGATTCTTACAAATAAAAGAAAGACCAGTGTTTTTTGTAAATAGAAATGTAATATCCTGGTAAACCTGCCAGGGTATAAGGATGAATAAATAAGAATGTTTTATTCCAGGTCTTTTATTGTGATACTTTATAATCTGACACCCACATGTTTACTGCCCTAACATGACAGGTCAAGTCCCCACGAGGCTGCTGTCATGTTGGTTGCCTAACAATGGCACCACATATATTACATCCTCCCTCTTATAGATCTAAGCGTTCAGGGGGTTTTACAGAGCGACCCGACCTAGTAGTTTTAAGTGATGGTTCATAGACTGGCTCCACAAGAGGCAATCCATGAACACTATCTCTTTGGTTTCTACAGGACTCTCTTTGCTCAGTGGGCAAGATATTCACTTCACACTGGGGCGGGTCACTTGAATCAGGATTGAACAGACTACATTGTATATTATCATGTCCAGAAGCTGTTTTGAACACATTTAATGATTCTCTTAAATCTACTCTGTTGCGTCTGACTGTGTCTCCATTTTCATTTAAAACCATATAAGACCTTGGTGTCCCATGTTGGCTAACTATTTGACCTGGTTCCCACTTCTTCTGAACATGATTGTATACTGTAACATCAGTATTATTTGTTAACGGTGGTAATTCTTTGGCACTTCTATTATAATACTTATTATATGTATTGCGCCTATGTTGCAGCTTCTCAAGCACATTTTCACATAACTTAGGTTGCAATAACTCTGAACTAATAGGTATTTTAGTTTTACAAATCCGGCTCATTAACAATTGAGACGGGGAGTAACCAATATGCTTGAGAGGTGTATTACGGTATTGCAGCAATGAGATTTCAATATCACCTTCTTTTACTGATTTCTTAATTATATTTTTTGCTATTCCTACTCCTTTCTCAGCGAGGCCATTGGAGCGTGGATAATTCGGGCTTCTAGTGATGATTTTGAAATTCCATTCTCTCGCAAAATTTTTACAATACAAACTATCAAATGGTATATTATCACATGTTATACAACCTGGTGAACCAAACACAGAGAACACTCTTCTTAATACCCCAATAACAGCTTTGGAAGATTTATTCTTTATCAAATGCAGGTCCAACCAATTTGAAAATGAATCAAATATAACTAGGTAGCTATTTCCAGCATATGTAAAAATATCTAGGCCTAGGCGTTCCCAAGGGCGCTCAGCAATTGGGTACAGTTGCAGAGTTTCCTTCTGTTGCTTGTGTGCATTCGACTCACATGTTCTGCATGCATTGATGTGATGTTCAATGTCAGAATTAATACCTGGCCAATATAATATCTGTCTCGCACGAGCTTTGCTTTTTTCAATGCCAATGTGACCCTCATGCAGCAATTTCAACATTTCTAAACGCAGTGACTGGGGCACTATGACCTTATCAGACATCAATAATAGTCCATCTATAGAGATAAGGCTCTCTTTCACTTTGAAATAATGTCGTATCGACTCTGGTACTTCCTGTTTGCTCTCTGGCCATCCATTAATGCAGAACTCAATTACTGCTTTTAGATGTTCATCTTTCTGTGTCTCATTTGCAAACTGTACTTTCCTTTCTTCAGACATGGGTATATTTTTGACTACTGCATGCACCGCATATTCAAATTCATTGTCACTTTTGAATCCTTTTTCTGAGAGGAATGCACGAGAAAGTGTGTCCGCAATATATAAATATTTTCCAGGTCTGTATGAGACCATTAAATCATAGTCAAGCAATCTTAAACGCATTCTTTGTAATCTTGGAGATATCCGTGCTAAATCCTTTTTAAATATGACTTCTAGTGGTTTGTGATCAGAGTGAACTTTGACCTTCTGTCCGTATACAAAATAATGAAATTTTTGAATGGCAAAGACAATCGCTAGCATTTCTTTTTCAATTTGGGCATATTTTTGCTCTGTTTTAGATAAGCTTCTAGATGCAAATGCCACTGGATGCCCATCTTGCAACAAACATGCACCCAGTCCATCCTTTGAAGCATCAGTTTCAATTTCAATTTCTTTTTTAGAGTTAAAATATCTCAGTACTGGTGATGTCGTCAATAAGTGTTTAAGTTGGAACAGAGACTGTTCATGGATGTTATCCCATTCCCATGTAACATCAAGCCTTGTGAGATCACGTAATGGGGCTGTTACCTTTGACATGTTGGGCACAAACTTACCCAAGTACTTCGCCATGCCTAAAATTCTCAATAATCCTTTTTTATCACTAGGCCTAGGCAATTCTGAAATTGCTCTAACATAGTTTTTGTTGGATTCAACTCCACTTTTTGAATAAATTTGTCCCAAAAACTTTACTGATTTTAGTTTAAATTGAACTTTAGAGCTATTAAATTTAATATTGTATTCTAGTGCTCGTTCTAGGACCAATTTTAGGTTCTGATCATGCTCTTGTTCATTTGAGCCTGTCACAATAAGATCATCGAAGTATAGTCCCACTCCGTCTAAATCTCCAAATATTTCAAAGTTTTTCCTCTGAAAAACTTCTGGTGCTGAGCAAATCCCAAAGGGCAATCTAAGAAATCGGTACCGCCCAAATGGGGTTCCAAAAGCAGTGTAATCAGCACTTTGACCATCTAACCTGACTTGAAAATAGCCATCTTTCATATCTAAGACAGTGAAGTATTCTTTGTCACACAACTTGACTGCAATTTCTTCCGCTGTAGGTATTAAAAAGTGTTCTCGTTGTATCGCATTATTTAAACGTTGAGGATCCAGACACAACCTTAAATCGCCATTTTTCTTTTCAACTATTACTAATGGGTTCAGCCACTCAGTTGGTTTTTCTATTTTTTCAATGACACCTTGATCTTCAAGTTGTTTTAATTTATGTCTGAGTCTATCATGAAGTGATATAGGTACCCTCCTGGGGGCTGAACATACGGTTTAGTATTGCTTTTTAAGGTTATGTGGTACTCAGTAGGAAATTCTCCTAAACCATCAAAAACTGAATTATACTGCTTTTTTACGTTATCTAATGAACTGAAAACAACATCCACACCCTGTCCTACATGAGCTAACCGTTCTATTAATTTTAATTCTAAACACCCTTGTAGCCCTAATAAGGGTATTTGATTATCTAAATCAACAACAATAAATTTAATCATACTTTCACACTTATTAGCTTTGCATAATAACTTAATCTCTCCACAAGGTTTAATTTTGAAATCTGGACTACCATAAGATAACAGGGTTACTGATGTTCTCTTTAGTTTATTTTCTAATTTCAGGTTTTTTAAAACATAATATGGCAAAACACTTACTTCAGCACCTGTATCTAGTTTAAATTCTACATGACTGCGTCCTATGTTTATCTTTTG